GCTGCTTCATTCCCGTCAGATAGAGAGAAATCCGATCGAGCACTCCCCATCAAGCCGGGGTCACTCCTCAACTAGCCTCTCCCATTCTCTGCCTTTAATCCAGTTTTATGGCCCTGGCATGACCAAAATATCCGGGCAGACAAAGCATCCCGACTTCTCGTTTAATCCATTTCCGCTATGACCTAGGTCGAAATCAAGGCTAATCAGCTCTCCGAGTACCACTCGTTTCAGGGTCCTCTCATGATGCTCGCTATGTGGGTGGGGTCGGTGAATCTTGCATATGACGCAGTTGTAAATGTGAACTCGTAGGTCCTGATATAGCGTGGGCACACCCAGGTAGAAGGTTCAGCGCTGCCTTTCGGCCCGGTTCTGGGATATAGGCGGCCCCGGTTCGCGAGTGCGGTCATGATCGGGATGGAGTCGACTGAGCCAGTCGCGCAACAAGGCTGGAATTGCCCTCCACGTATTGAAACTGCACATCGTACTCGCAGAGCTTCATCCTCCATCGCATTAGCTTCCATCGTTCCGTGGTGTTTAGTGCAACCAAAGCCTTATGGTCTGTGACCACGACAAGGGAATACCAGTTTTATAAGAGCATCGGGCCCTGTGGGATCTGCTGTGCCGGTACGACCGCCACCGGCGACTCCGTCGGCTGGACCAGCTTAAGGAACCAAAGAATGGAAAGAAATTGTCCCGAGAGGGATATGTAATCCCCGTGTTCCTGAAATGCCGCGAGACCGGTACCTCGCGTAAAGAAGGTACTGCCGATGATTCTCCTGGAACGGGAGAATCGCCAGTGCTGTTTCGCAGTGATGCGCAGGATTCCCAACCTACTGTGTGCACCAGATGTTGACCTGACTAAGTGCGGAAGGTCTTGGACGAAGAGACCACCCACATGGAGCCAGAGTGTCAGTGGAAGCTGTGGAGCTTGCTGGGACGATATCGCGACACCTGGGAGGAGCCCAAGGTAGTCAAGTACCCAGTTCGGTTCACAGCTCACGGCAGGCCGTTCAGGGCGGGAGTACGGTATCACAAGCCAGAAATGCGTGAAGAGCTTGAGAAGCATGCTACGAAGCAGCTTGAGCTAGGCGTCATCAGACCTTCGAAGACCTAGCGGGCCGCCGCCCCGCACTTTCTCAAGGAGAAGAGGGAAGTGAGTAATAGACTATAAGCGGTTGAGGCAGGACCGTGTCGTTGGCGGGATGCCATGCGAGCTTCGAGTACGCGAAAGAAGTAAGCCCCTGCCCCAGCTGTGGAGTGGACATCCTACCGGTAGTTGCCGTTGTTGGAAATGTCGAGTACGTTGGGTGTCGAGATGATCTTGATGGCGCACGTAGGCCGTGTAGAGTTAACCGTGATCTTCGATGACTGGGTGGTTAGCAGGTTACGGGTGATCGGTGCAGTGCTGGCTCCCGTTGGAACCGCTTGGCGGCTGTGACTGGTTGTGCTGCCTCGAGAGTCGGAACAGTCCTCGTTGGAACAGCCCTCGCGAGCATGTGTCGTGCGTGTGTCGCGTGTCGATTGTCACCTAGATCATCTAGGACGTTTCCGCCCGGCAGCAGATCTTTTGCCGTATACGCATAATGCACTGGAGTTCTCACTGGAGTTCTCATTTGGTCATCGTTGCATCCCAAAAAAATTGTACCCCGTATTTTGAGAGCGGGCCGCCAAGGCTGGTTGGCAAGACTGGCATTATAGAAATGCAGTATATAGGAAGCACAGTACATAGTCGGCGTTTAGTCGGTTTGTTGTTGCACGGTGTTCTTGTCTGTGGTTTCGGGTCTGTCTCCGCCTTCGACGAAGGTTTTGACAAGCTTGGCTTTGAAGCCGAATTCCATGAGCTCGTTCCTGGAGAAGATGGGAGCGGGTCGGTCTTGTCGTGGTACGTCTCCGAGAATCTGGCCGATGAGGATGTCTTTGACAAGGAAATCTTTGTGTACTCTGGCCATGGTTTCGGCGTCGGGTGTCCAAGCGGTTGAGTCGGCGAATGGCACGTCTTTCTCCAGAGGTGAGGCGTAGTCTTTGTCG